AATTCTCTTTGAATGTGTGGGGCTATGTGACTGTGTGTGCTCGGGAAAGCATTTTGGTGTCTTAGCAGCTTCCTGCTGCAGACCCAACCAAATGTGAAAACCACTGAAATCTAACACACCTCTACTCCCTAGGAACAATTCCGTCCACTCCTTTTGATCCACATAACCCTCTGTTGTTGGCCGACCCTCAAGGCTCCGTCCACTTCCTTTGTAATAACACCTTGCTCCGTGACAAAAGGGTCATAAACATGTCCTCCAACACTGCGGAATCATGGAGCAGCAGCACCACATAGTGGGACTGCAGGCACAACCATGGTAATATGATTGGCCACAAGAAGCTCAACCTCTGTCCTCCATTGGCCTACCACATTTAAACACACACCTGGGAAGTCAAAAACCACTCCCCCCAGACAGGTATAAGTGCACATCACTGATGCATTGGAAGTGATATTAGGAAGTTATTCTTGGATTGGCATTATAACAACTGTTGTACGAGATTTTCTTGAATACTTCTCCAGTCATTTTATTTTGCTCGTTGGACCTGTTTCTTTGGCGTTTTGTTATTAAACGAATCAACCATATACCAGCTGTTTTCATTCATTGTCTGGGACAACCTACGAGGTGATTTCTTCAATTTTGGTGCTGTGACTACGGGAAGAAGAAATCCTCCAATTGGTGTCATGCTCATGAACGACGAAGAGCGAAATCGTTCAACTGGGCCGTGAACCGGATTGATTATACCAATAATCTTTCAACTGGTGCCATGACACAGATCGAAACATAGCAAGAATATTTCAGTATCACTGACAAAAGACTAATTGTCTCAGGTCAGGTAGCTATGATAAAGAGCATATTACAAGACATAAAACATGTGTACCATTAATGTTTAAAATTTCACCAGGGCTGTGAAGATTAAACTATTACGTGATTCAGTAATTTGTGAAATGAATAAGATTAAATTTTTGCAAGATGAAGATGGAGGTGAGAAAAATAGATTGGCGAGACAGAGAAATCAAGCTGGGAAGGATGTGCAGCAGGTGAGGTTGATTAAGGACAGAAAGGGGAATGTAATCACGAGGAAAGTGTGCTGAGAAGATGGAAGGAATACTTTGAGGAGTTGTTGAATGAGGAAAATGAAAGGGAACATAGGAACGAGGATTCAGAGACTATTAGGAAGAAGGATGAAGAGTGGAAAGTCAGTTTGTCCCGATGACATATCAGTGGAAGTATGGAAGTGCTTAGGAGAAGTGGCGGTAGATTTCCTGACTGGGTTGTTCAATAAAAGACTTGTTTAAAGACTGACAAGATGCCTGATGAGTGGAGGAAAAGTGTCCTGGTGCCAATTTATAAGAAGGGTGATGCACAGAGTTGTAACAACTACAGAGGGATAAAGTTGATGAGCCATACGATGAATATTTGGGAA